ACTCCATTGTCATAACAATTTGATTTATAAGGCCATAGGCAGTCAGCCCTAAAGCCCTAGATTTTTCAGGAACTTTGTTGATCATAACCGAATTCTTTTCTGTTTCAGTATAATTCTTTTGCAAAGTTTTATAATCAGGTAAACAAAACAATTTCTGCATTTTGCCAAATTTCCCCAATTCTTTCATCAGCCAGGTTTTTTCCCATAATGTGCTTCATAGATTTAATGCCTGCCCACTCCTCTGATCACAAAGACTCATATTGTACAGCACATCTATATTTTTGGAAGCTACTAGTGAGGAAAGAGAAAAAGAAGATGAAGAACAAGTGCACTAGCAGAATTGCCATAATCAGAATCATCTGTAACATTGTCAAATGCGTAAGCAGATTCCATAATAGTGGTCCTTTGGCGCACATAGATGTTTTCTCCTTGGTACTCAAGTAGCATGCTCATTTAGCTGCCATTAGGTTACCTGGAGGGAACTGATGGAGGAAGGTCATTGAGCAATAAAGAAACTGCTTGGCTGGCCCTGATAGGTTAAAGTATAGGTGGGAGGAGTAAACAGAATAGAATTCTGGGCGGAAGAGGAAGTGAGGTCAGACTCTGCTCTGCTCCTGGAGAGACCTGACAGCTCTGCTCTCTGGAGCAGAGACGCCAGGCTCCACTCTCCCAGGCAGCTCCAACCCAGGATGGACGGAGGCTAGAATCTTCCCAGTAAGCACACCTTGGGGTGCTTACACACATCATTAGAAATGGGCTAGTCCAGGTGCGAGAATTAGCCTGTAAGGGCTAGAGTTCATGGGCCAAGAGGTGTTTAAATGAATACAGTTTGTGTGTTGTTATTTCGGGCATAAGCTAGCAGGCGGCCGGGGTGCTGGGAACGCAGCCCCGCCACTCCTATTTCAACTGGGAACTGCTTCCTGCATCTCAGGAATCGCACATGGAAGGGGGCTATGCTTTTCAGTCTCTGGGCACAGGTCTAACAGCAGAACCAGTGAAAGGCACATTGGGCCTAAAATCAAAGTAAAACTCACACTCTACCCCTGACCTAGTACTGAGCTTGAAATCATCCAATCCTTGTGCAGGAAAACCAACCAGTCCCTGAGCACACAACCAACCAATCACAGCATGAAAACTCAGGAATTGAAATCCAAACAATTCTTACCCTCAAAATACTCTTCCTGGAAAACTCTGCCTCTAAGGAGCCCCATATAGTCTCTGTGCCTAACAGAAGGCAGCTGCCATTTTCTACTCTGCCAGAGGCAGCCACTCTCCTGGATTCATACCTCCTAAATAAATCTTTTGAGCCAGATTTTGGTGGAGAACCTTCATTCAAGCGGAGCAGAAACCTTGCATGCAATCTCCCTAGTGGAGCAGAGCAGAGAAGCAAAGGATGCCTCTGCTCAGATACTCCATCACGGGGGCACAGCAAATGTGGCAACATTTCTTAGGTGAGAGAAGCAGAGAAGTAACAGTTTGGTCCAGAGCTAAGTAGAAATGAACATCTCTGCTGGGAAATTCCCTAGTGGAGCGGATCAGAGAAGTGATGGGCATTTCTGCTGTGATAGTCACTAGTGGAGAAGATTAGGAAAGTGATGGACAAGTTTTTGGGGAAACTCCCTGAGGGGGTAGAGCAGTGTGGTGATGGACATCTCCGCTGGGAAGTTCTCTTAGCAGAGTAGAGTGGAGCCCAGCTCTAATGACTCAGAGAGGAGCAACATTGCCACATCATGCTGGGGACCGTACCCCCACCAGAACACAACTGCAGGTAAGGCCTGACTTCCTGGCATTCAGTATTTCTTCTCACAGCGTTGGGTTCCCAGGATACCTTCTGTTTACTGTTGTGTATATAGCCTGACTCCCACCAGCTAGGGTAACGTCTTTGACAGTGCCACAGTTATCTTGGATACTTTTCCTCCATCGCTTCAGTTGTAGCCTGACTTCCCAATATTCAGGATTCCTTTATCCTCACAGCTGTAGATACCCTGTTTGTAGCCACATCCGTTGTCAAAGAGTAAGAATAAGCTCAACCTCTCTAACCTCCAGTCAAGGTGGAGCAGGCTCACAACTGTGGCCCTCACACACGTCTGCCTGGGATCTGCCATGCTTCCTGCCACACAATAATGGACCAAAACTGTGAACCTCTCAGTCTGCCCCCAGTAAGTGTTTTCTTTTATAGAAGTTGCCATGACTATAGTTTCTCATCACAGCACTAAAACCCTAATGAATATGTGATCAAATTCAGTAACTTTTGGTGAAGGCAGGACTTCTCAGGAAGTTAGATCTCAAGTACTATTAATAAGGAAAGAAATCAGAAACACCATCTGAACCAATGACATCTTAGGTAAGAGAGTAAATGATCTATCTGTTGACAGATACGTTATCCTCAATCCCTGGTGACTGAAGATGGAAATTTTAGAGTGTCTGTAGGTTATCTAAAGACTCTAATGAGGAGCTGGAGCCATGGCTCAGAGGGGCAGAGCACATACTGCTCTTGTAGAGGACCCAAACTGTTTGTCCAGCACCCATGTCCGGTCATTCACAACTGCCTGGAATTCTAGGTTTTGAGAAAGCAAAACCTCAGGCCTCCATAGGCACATGTCTTCATTTACACATACCCTTAGACATCACTTGTAAAAAATCAATCTTAAAAATTCAAATGAATTTGAAGATACTTTTTTTTTTATAAATATTTATTTATTATGTATACAATGTTCTGTCTGTGTGATGCCTGCAGGCCAGAAGAGGGCACCAGACCTCATTACAGATGGTTGTGAGCCACCATGTGGTTGCTGGGAATTGAACTCACGACCTTCGGGAGAGCAGGCAATGCTCTTAACCTCTGAGCCATCTCTCCAGCCCCTTGAAGATACTTTTTGTTTCAGTTTCACATTTAAAACCAAAATTGAGAGCCGGGCAGTGGTGGCGCACGCCTTTAATCCCAGCACTCGGGAGGCAGAGGCAGGCGGATCTCTGTGAGTTTGAGGCCAACCTGGTCTACAGAGCTAGTTCCAGGACAGGCTCCAAAGCCACAGAGAAACCCTGTCTCGAAAAACCAAA